GTATTAATCTCAATTCACGTAAGAAAGTTCCTGTGTTCAGAAAGCATATCTTTTCAACTGGATTTGTTGTATTGTTTATATATATATAAAAAGTAAAATAACAAAAATACCGAACTCCAAGGGAAATTCAAAACGGAAAGTCCTTTGTAAAATGGCGAAATCAAAAACTCAAATAAATTATCTTGAATAAGAAATAAATGTGTCCTCATTCCAATTGAGGAACGATGCAACATTCTGGTTCCGGTGAATGAGTCACATCTTGCATGTTAAACAATCTTTTAGTTAATCATTTCATTATAATGTGAAATTAAACACTTCCTTTCAAATCAAATTGCTATTTTGTCTGATTTTGTCGTATGCTCTTTGTTAATTTATTTTTTTAAATTTCATTTTCAGTGTCAAAGCGAACAAATCTGGTTTTTATCATATATTTATAAACCGAACAAACCGTACAACCGACCCTGGTCATTTTGCTTGAAACCCGAAGGATACGTTCATGCACCAATATTATTGTCATACAGCACAAAAAAGAAATTTTTGCATTTTTTTTTTCAATAATAACTAAATGCATTTTCACTGTTTCTTTTGCCCATGTATCTCATTATATTTCTTTGTATTTATACATCCCTGGATTTTAAATGGAATTTCCACAATGTTTATTGAAAAATTCATAGATACAAAATCTTCACATTGTTTGTCAGGTATTAATCTCAGTTCACGTTAGAAAGTTCCTGTGTTCAGAAAGCATATCTTTTCAACTGGATTTGTTGTATTGTTTATATATATATAAAAAGTAAAATAACAAAAATACCGAACTCCAAGAGAAATTCAAAACAGAAAGTCTTTTATAAAATGGCAAAATCAAAAACTCAAACAAATTACCTTGATTGAAAAATAAATATGTCCGCATTCCAACTGAGGAACGATGCAACATTTAACACACATATTTAAGAAATATATAATAACAAAAAAAAAACCATCTGGTTATAATTCGATATGCATCTATATAAAACAGTAAACTTTGTAAATTTATTTGTACATAAAACTACTTGTTTTCAATAATAACCATACTGAGTTCAAAGTAGGCTTTCACAACATTAATTCATTGGCAAATTATTACTTTGCTTTGTTTTTTACATTTGATGAAAGCAAAGTGAAAGTAATGATCTACAAAAACTTTGTTCGAGCAAAATGATTAACAATAAGTCAAAGGCTCACATGCCTAAGTTTCAATATTATATTATGGTTCGTTTGATCTCAGTTCTTCATTGATAAAAATTTAATTATTACGTCAAATTTTCTTGCTTTTATCTCAAATTACTATTGTGGCGTCATGAAACAAGGCGACGATCTCTGATGACGTCACATAGAAAGAATTCATCTTTTTACAGATCATTCGAAAAGAAGGATTAAGTTTGCCTGCATATCTTGTAGAAACCATTAGAGAAACAGATGCCACCGCCAAATCTCATGCATTACGATATTCATCCACTCTCGACAGTTTAATTTTAAATATTTAAAAGGCTCGGCGAGCCTCGCGTTTGAAAATTTAACTGTCTCCGGTGGATAAATATGACATGACACTCGATACAGTGGTAGAATCTATAAATATGGTAACAACTTGGGATTTTTAAAATGTTTTAAGAAGTAACATCTAGAATATTAGTAAGGAAAGTTCTGATCTCCTAATTTCTACAAGGGCAAAATTAAAAAAAACAACTTTTCAAATGTAAATAATGATGCGGACATTCGGATATATGCTTCTTGTTACTATATATCTTCTATGTTGAACAAATTGTTAGTTAGTCGATTCATTATAATGTGATATTCAGAAAATGTCTGTCAAATCAGATTGTTATTCAATCTGACTTTTTTTTAAATGCGTGTTTCTTAATTTATTAATACATTGTTGTCTTCTGAGTCAAAGCGAATATATCTGGTGCAGCGTGGATTTCAAAAACACCCTCATTCATCATAATAATCAGAAAAACTGTAAAACCCATCTTGATCATTTTGTTTGAGACTCAACGGATACGATCATGCATAATTTTATCATACAGCACGAAGAAGAAATTTGTGCACTATTCTCTTTCTTTTTCCCTTTTTGAATGAAATAGGCAATTAATTGATATAACTGAATGAATTTTTTCGAAATAATTCAACTTGATTGATAAAATAAATACTTATTTTAAATTTTGTTATCTTGCTTTTGTGTTTGGGTCCCCTATGCTCATAGAGATCAGAATATGATACATTCCTGGATTTCAAATGTTTTCGTTTGAATGCTCTTGATGAAAAGCGCTTAGGAAACACGAAATTTATCAAGTGTAATTTTCAATATACTTGTCATTTGGGGTTTGAACAGATTGTCTATCTATTTCCCCCTTGGAATATCGCAAGGGTTTAACTGTGACAATTAACCTAATAATGCAAAACAACAATAATCCATAGATAGTATGTGCAGTTCTCAAGGATAAAATTTCAGCAGTTAAGTTTAGGAATACAATTGTACGTGATACATCTTAATGACAATAATAAAGAACAGTTCATAAATTCGACGCTTCACTATGTACCATAAGATTCCGTATGAGCTTTAATTAAAACGATAATAGATAAGGAATAACAATGATTAAATTGAGAATGGAAATGGGGAATGTGTCAAAGAGACAACAACCCAACCAAAGAGCAGAAAACAGCCGAAGGCCACCAATGGGTCTTCAAAACAGCGAGAAAATCCCGCACCCGTAGGCGGACTTCAGCTGGCCCCTAAACAATAATGTGTACTAGTTCAATAAAAATGGACGTCTCATTGGCACTCATACCACATCTTCTTATATCTAGTCACACTAAACTCCAAAATTTATAAATGAACTAAAATTAAAAAAACATACAAGACTTACAAAGGCCAGAGGCTCCTGACTTGGGATAGGCGCTAAAAAAGATGTTGGTCAGGTGATCAAAACAGTCAATTTTTGATTATCAGTTAGCTGATACCTTTCAATAATGATAAAGAACTATTTTTGCTTATATTTATTTAATAAAATCATCATTTAAAAACTGTTTACTGTAGATCATGTCATATTAAGGATAAAAAATCAGACAATACTGCACTGGATCGCTACAACTCTGTCAGTTCTGACTAAAACGGTCAAACAGAACTCCAATTGAGGTATGGTGCAACATTTAACACACATATTTTCAAAATAAGTTATTTAAAACAAAACAAACTGTAGGATTAGATTCCATCCACATTCATCTATAAAAATCAGTAGGTTTATTTGTAAATTAATGTGTACTTCAAACTACTTATTTTAAAATTCAGACAAGCTAGGCTTTAACAACACCAGTGTCCATGCATTGACAAGTTAATCGTTTTCTTTGCGTTTATACAGGTGATGAACGCACAGTTCTGATTTTTGTTATTACATATCTTCCATGTTTAACAAATTGTTCGTTAATCGTTTCATTATTTTAAATTCGGGAAATTTCTTTCAAATCAAATTGTCTGTTCAATCTGACTTTATCATATGCTTGTTTGTCAAAGCGAACACGTCTGGTTCACATCATTTTAAATTGAACAATCTTTCCAACAGACCCTGATCATTTTGTTTGAGACCAGACGGATACGATTATGCATCATCGTTGTAATAGAAAAAAGAAGGAATGTGTGCATTTTTCTTTTTATTTCTTCACTTTTTGAATGAAATATCTGTTAATTGGTCCTATTTAATGAATTAATGTAAATAAAATCAACTTCATTAATAACAAAATGCATTTTAAAGTTTTAAAATATTTCATCTTTTAAATCGACCAAGGGGTTTGAGTGTAACAATTAATTAATAAGACAAAACAGCACATGTTAAAGTAATCCAAAGATAGTATGTGCAGTTCAAGGCTAAAATTAAAGCAGTTATGTTTGGGAATACAATTGTATGTGATACCCCCTACTGGAATAAAACCACTGATTCAAAGTCCCATTGCTTTCTATGTTAAATTCTGCAATTTCAAGTATTAATGGCTATTTTGTCTTAATTTCAAATAAAGTGGCAGTCAATTCATGTCAACACTATACCTTATCCTGACTTGTGCTGAAAAATTCAACATACCTCTAGTTGCATATTATAGCGTACTGTTTCCCGAAAGTTTGATAGTACAAAACAGGTACTTCTGATCTGAACAGGTGGGCAAATGTGTCGTCCTATCATAATTTTATATATTTTTTTTATTATTAAAAAACACTTTCAACAAGGGATCTACAGTGATCCCAAGTCCTCAGCCTTTCATTTGATACTAAAACTACCAAAATATTTCACCTATTGACAAAGATACAGCTATGCGAAGAAACTATTTTCTTTTAAATATGTACTACTTTCATGTATGTTCTTTCTGACTAGGCCAGAATTAGTGGTTCTATACTTAAATACTGACAATAATAAAGAATTGTTCGTAGTTACGAAGCCTCATCATGTGCCCTAAGATTCGGCATACACTTGAATTAAAACGGTAACAAAACGGGAATAACAATGATTTTGGCCAGGTGATTAAAACGCCCAATTTTTTAATACTTGTTATCTTAATATATCTTATATTGTTGCTAAAAAGAACCATTGTTGCTAATATTGATTAAAAAAATTAAACTACTCTATAATCACTTTTTACAGAAGATCATGTCATATTAGACATTAACCATCAGAAAAATATTGCACTGAATAGCTACACCCGTCTGTTCACACTAAGAACGTAAAACATAATTCATGTCAATTCAATAAAGGAGAAATAAAAGAAGATGCATTTAAATTATGACACTCTTTTGATGCATACTACGGTGCATGATCTTATCCGTCGGTACTGAACAAATGATACAGGTCAACTGCGCTGGGGTTTTGATAATAATGATTTCAATTGAAAGAATAAGTTAAGATGGTTGCTCATTAAATTAGAAAAAAGACCCCCCCCCCCCCCCAAATAGATTGTGGTATGTACAATAAAATATTTCATACCTTCATTCAATGTAAGTCCACAGCCAATGTTAGTTGAAAAATCCTTGATACAAAATCTTCACATTGTTTGTTAGTTTTTTTTTATTTCATTTTTCACCTTAAAAGGTGCATGTGTGCACAGAGCGTATCTTTGAATCCTGTTTCTTTATTGGTTAAATATTTATAGATTGCCTTGATCGAGATATCAAATTGTTCTCTTTCTAATTGAGGTATGATGTACCATTTAACACGCATATCTTAAAAATGAGTTATTAAAAACAAACAAACCGTCTTGTTAGAATTTCACATGCATCTATATAAATCAGTAGTTTTATTTGTAAATTTGTTTGTACTGCAATCAACTTGTTTCAAATAAAGAGCATTCCGAATTCAGACAAGGCTTTAAGAACACCAGCGTCTATGCATTGACAATTTATTCATTTGCTTTGCGTTCATACAGACAGTTAGGACTTGCAGTTATCTGCTTCTTGTAAGTACATATCTTCCGTATTTAACAAATTGTTCGTTAATCGTTTCATTATTTGAAATTCAGAAAATTTTACTTCTAATTAAATTGTTATTTCAATCTGAGTTTGTCATAGGCTTGTTTGTTAATTCATTTTTTAAATTGCCATCTTCAGAGTCAAAGCGAAACGCGTCTGGTCCATATCAAATCAAGCTGAACAATCCTTACAACCGGCCCAGATTCCGTGTAAACCTTAGTGAAAAACGATAACAATTGGGAATTACAATGATTTTGGTCAGTAATTAAACGGCTCATTTTTTTGATACACGTTAGCTTATTATACCTGATAGTGGTGCTAAAAAAGAACTATTTTTGCTGATATTAATTGAAAACTAAATTACCATAAACGTTTTTTTTTTTTACAGAGGATCATGTCATATTAAACATTAACCATCAGACAAATATTGCACTTATCGCTTCACTTGTCCGTTCAGAATGTTTATTGAAAATTCATAGATACAAAATTTTCACATTGTTTGTCAGGAATCAATCTCAATTCACGATAGAAAGTGCCTGTGTTCATAGAGTAAATCTTTAAAATTGGTTTTTGTTGTGTTGTTTAAATATTTAAAGATTACCTTGATCGAAAAATAAAACTGTCCGCATCCCAATTGAGGAACGATGCAACATTTAATGCACATATTTTAAAAATATATTATTATAAACAAACCATCTGGATATAATTCGATATGCATCTAAAAGTTTATAAAACAGTAAACTTGGTAAAATTATTTGTACATGAAACTACTTGTTTTAAATAATAACCATGCTGAATTCAAAGTAGCCTTTACAACATAAGCTTCCATTTATTGGCAAATTATAACTTTGCTTTGCTTTTTTAAATATGATGAACGCAAAGTGAAAGTAATGATCCACAACAACTTGATTCGAGCCAAAGGATTAACAATAAATCAAAGGCTCACATGCCTGGGTTCCAATACTATATAATAAAGATATAATATATATAAATATATATTTCTCTAATTCTTACCCGATTTATCCTTTTCCTGACCTGTTGTTTACATCTATTTAAACAACATGTGGTTCGATTGATCACAATTCTTGATTGATCAAAATTTGATTATGACGTCAAATTTTCTTGCTTTTATCTGAATTTACTATTGTGGTTTCATGAAACAAGGCGACCCTCTCTGATGACGTCACATAGAAAGAACACATCTTTTTACAGATCATTCGAAAGGAAGGATTAAATTTGCCTGCATGTCTTGTAGAAATCATTAGAGAAACAGATTCCACCTCAAAATCTCGTGCAATACGATATTTATCCACTCTCGACAGTTAAATTTTAGATATTTAAAACGATCAGCGAGCCTCGCGTTTTGAATTTCAACATTTAACTGTCAATAGTGGATAAATATGATATTACACTCGATGCAGTGGTAGAATCTATAAATATGATAACGACTTGGGATTTTTTAAATGTTTTAAGAAGTATCATCCAGAATATCAGTAGGAAAAGTTCTGATATCCTAATTTCTACAAGGGCAAGAATAAAAAAAAAGACTTTTCAAATGTAAATAATAATGCAGACATTCGTTTATATGCTTCTGCATATCTGCCTAACAGCATGAAAACTAGTAGAATATTTGATGCGTTTCCCTCAGTTTTAGTTTGTAACCCGGATTTGTTTTTATCTCTATCGATTTATGAGTTTCGAACAGCGGTATACTACTGTTGCCTTTATTTTTATGTTGAAGAAATTATTAGTTAGTCGATTCATTATAATGTGAAATTCAGGAAATGTTTTTCAAATCCGATTGTTATTCAATCTGACTTTTTTCAAATGCGAGTTCGTTAATTTATTTTTTAATTGTTGTCTTCTGAGTCAAAGCGAATACATCTGGTGCATATCATAATAATCTGAAAAACTGTAAAACCGATCTTGATCATTTTGCTTGAGACCCGACGGAAACTATCATGCATAATTTTTAAAAAACAGCACGAAGAAGAAATGTGTGCACTTTTCTTTTTCTTTTTTCCCTTTTTGAATGAAATAGGCTGTTAATTGGTATAACTGAATGATTTTTTTTGAAATAATTCAACTTGATTAATAAAATAAATACTTATTTTAAGTTTTGTTATCTTGCTTTTGTTTTTGGGTCCCCTATGCTCATAGAGCTCATAACATTTCTTTGTGATGATATAGCCCTGGATTTCCAATTTTTTCGTTTGACCGCTCCTGATGAAAGAGAATCCCTAAAAGTGCTTCGGACACACAAAATTTATAAAGTGTTATTTGCAATATACCTTTTAATGGGGGTTTGAATCGATTGTCTTTCATTTCCCCCTTGGAATCTCTCAAGGGATTTGATATGTGAGAATTAAACTAATAATACAAGACAACAATAATCCATGGATAGTATGTTCAGTTCTCAAGGCTACGATTTAAGCAGTTTAGTTTAGAAATACAATTGTACCTGAAACATCTTAATGACAACAATAAAGAACAGTTCATAGAATCGACGTTTCATGATGTACCACAAGAATCCGTATCAGCTTTAATTAAAACGATCATAGTAAAGGAATAACAATGATGTTGGTCGTGTAATTAAAACAGTCAAAATTCAAATACCTGTTAGCTTATACCTTAAATTGATGCTAAAACAACTAGTTTTGCTTATATTTATTTAATAAAATCATCATTTTATCACTTTTTACAGTAGATTATATCATTTTAGGGATAAAAAATCAGAAAACATTGCACTGGATCGCTACATATGTCAGTTCTGATTAAAAAGGTCCAAAAGAACTCCAATCACTTTAAATTTAATAGATTTTAATAAAATCATATACATTCCGGTTTATCTTACACTCTCTTTATGAATACTGCGGCAAATAATCGTATCCTTCGAGTATGAACAAATGATCCAGATCGACTGAATTAGGTTTTCGATAATAATGATTTTAATTGAAAGAACAAAGTTAAGATGGTTGTTCATTAAATTCAAAATAAAAAAAACCTTCACAATAGATTGTGGTATGTCCAATAAAATATGTCATACCTTCATTCAATGAATGTCCACAGCCAATGTTTGTTGAAAAATTCTTGGATACAAAATCGTCTCATTGTGAGTCAGTTATTTTATTTTATTTCAAGAAGGTTGTTAGATTTAAATCCGGTTTCTTTATTGTTTATTGATTGCTGGACCGAGAAATAAAATTGTTCTCATTCCAATTAAGGTATGACGCAACATTTGATACACATATCTAAAAATATATTATTACAAACAAACCATCTGGTTATAATTCGGTATGCATCTTTATAAATCAGTAGGTTTTGTACATAAAACTACTTGTTTTAGATAATGACCATGCTGAATTCAAAGTAGGCTTTCACAACATTCATTCATTGACAAATTATTACTTTGCTTTGTTTTTTTACATATGATGAACGCAAAGTGAAAGTAATGATCTACAACAACTTCGTTCGAACAAAATGATTTACAATAAGTCAAAGGCTGACACGCCTAGGTTCCAATACCATATATATATATTGGTGTAATTAGGAAAGTACTTAATGGTAACGACTTTTGATTTTTAAAATAGTTGAAGAAGTATCATGTAGTGTGTAAGCAAGGAAAGTTCTGATCTACTGATTTATGGGTTTTGCTCATTTATAAAACCGTACGGTGACTTATAGTTGTAAACTTCTATGTCATTTGGTCTCTGATGGAGAGTTGCCGCATTGGCAATCATACCAAATCTCCTAATTTTTATACGGGTCGATTGTTCATTTTTCATTTTGACTAAAGAATAGATCTTATTTTGCTCATCATTTTGCAGTTTATAGTTTCTATTCATCTATTATTGTAAATAAACTCATAAAGGGTTCATCGGGAACCTTTGTATTGCAATCGATGCTGCTGTCAGTGTAAAAGTGTAAAAAAATAAGTCTTTCTTTACGCAAAATGCTAAAACATGAAGAAACTAATTTTCCTTCTAACAAAATGTTTTTAAATTCATATCTTTTTTTTTTTTATTTCACAGATGACGACCGATATGTTTCAATCGTTGTGACCCCAATCTCGTCCTCCTGTTCCCCGAATGCGACCTACCGAATTAGATTTATCACCTGGTTTGTACTTAGGTAGTAATACACAGCTAGAAAAAAAATCCTAAAATTGGCACTCATAATTTTTAACCACCCTTTTATTCTTGCTTTCGAACAAATAAGGCATATTGTTTGTGTCATGAAAGTGCAAATGTATGGAAACAGCATTTTTTACAGATTTATTTCCAATTGTTAATATGGTGAAATATAATCTATTTTTGGTGCAACCACGGCAATAATATGCATTTATTTATTACAAAATATTGCAAAAAGGGGGTGAAAATGTCCCAAGAGTCTCCAAAATTTAGGTGATACCTTTTCTGAAACCGTTGACATTTATCTATCAAGGATCAAATAAAAATTATATGCATTTCACCTCATCATTTCATCAAAGGATATTGAAAAGTTTAATCTCTTAATTTCGGGTAGATGGCCTTACATTTGCAGTTGAAATGGGAAGATATATAGAACATATTCAGGGACCAAATGTTATGTAAATGTTGTAATAAACAGGAAGACTCTTTCTAGATTGGAAATCGATAGAACTAAGAGATGAGTCATATTTAAAATCAATGATTTCAAACCTTGTTATAAAAACAATCAACAACACTTCATGTACTGTAGTGTGTTTTATTTTGTTTTTTTTTTGACTCACAGGGGTGTAATTTGCAAATAAAGAAACTAACTCGTAACTTTTCAAAAGTTTCAAAGTCAACAATTCATGACTGAGTGGTGAGGCCAAATAATCTTCATGAGAAAAGAGACTGGAGATACTAAGGGTCATTCAAACTCAAAGTCGACAACGCCATGGCATAGAACGCAAGACGATGACAATACAAACAAGTTGCTAGCTTCTTTTTATTCTTTCTAATCCTGTATGA